GTTCTTGCAGTGGTTCGTCTATACAACGTAATTTGTTTTGTGGCTTCTTCAAATGACAAACACTTAATATAACTCTGTTTTACAGGAATCGTTGCCTAAACTGGAATTTGTCCAAGAAGGTTGAGGAAGCTGTTCTACACAACAGTGGTATGAGGTATTATCCATAATAATTAGAGATTGCACTACTAGTTACAGCATATAAAACAACAAAGCGTATACCAGTATTTTCGTGACCTTTTCTGATGCTCTCCATATTGTCACCTTACCATGTGCATTTATACGACTAGTTCAAAAATATCCAAGTTTCGTCCTTAAGTAGTTTTTCATATGGTGCTTCAAAAAGTATAAAATATAACCGTAGAAACAATATTTTGCTTTTCGCAAAGGACTCTCCTACTTTTTCAAGTTTATATGAAAAAGCACAGTGTTTTAAAAGTCGCCACAACGTTGTATTAGAAGTGTTGTATATTTTCTTATTATCCAGTTCTACAAAAAGCAACGGAATTGTAATGTGTTGCCTTTTACTTTCATATCACATACAACGTTTCTGATAAGGAGGTACCAAGAAGGATCAAAAAAGATACATCATTGCTAAATGTTTTATCTGGGACATATACTGAGGGAAAATCGATATAGAATAGTACGACTGATCATTAAAGGCAAAATAAAAGGTTTACTTGTTTAAAAAACATTCGTGAATGGACTCAAATTCAGGACAATTATTTATGTGGCAGAAGATAGAGAAGCCATAGAACGGGTGAAAAGAACATTCCCTACCAGTCGTAAGAGGCACACAGTGGGATGTCCGGCTGTCTAACAGCGGCTGTATCCAAGTAGCTGTTCCTTCGGAACGAAAGGACAAACCGAATACTGCTAAGATGCTGGTCACAATCGATCGTAAAAGTCAAGCAATGCGATGGAACGAGAGATACTGAGCCATCGTTTGAGGTGTCGGTAGTCGGTATGGGAGCTACTATAAACGAGACGAGTCCATAAGTCGCACTGGTCCACGGATTGAGGGTTGACGGGCTCATGTGGGACCACTCTGTTTTAGTTCCACATAACCTCTGCGTGAGGTTTTGCAGGTTCTATACGATCAGTCCCAATCCGAAGGTGGAACGTCTCTGAAATCCCTCAGAGTTAACATCTCAGAGATAAGTGGTAGTGCGACAGGCGATAACCTGTCAAACGTGTTTGGAGGTCCATTATCTCACCAGCGTGCAACTTTTCGCCCTCTCGGGGATCACGGGCAGCGGTACGTACGGCAACACAGGTACTGCGGGGAATGTGAAGCCCCACAATATGGCTATCGTCCCATCCTCACTGAAGACGGACTCGCTGGGGTATTGTATCTGCCAGAATAGGATAGACTTCCTCTCGGAAGTTGGCAATACCCTTTATGTACAAGGGAATCATCATAATCCATTTGTGTTGACACGGATTCCTTGATGGGTAAGGGTTCCCTGGGGTTCGAATCCCGCCCGTTGTACAGATGGGTCTGCGCCTAGGTCAGAAGAACGCGTAGTGATTAAGATCATAGTGCTCCAGGAAATGCAATCTAAGTAGTGACGCCGCCTTCATATACTTGCCAACCAGCGACTCTCTAACATTATGGGTCTGGACACTAGTGTAACATATATTACTTGTGTGGTGTATATATGAGACCCTCAACATACGTCGGTAGCACCACATTTCAAATGCCTCTGATCGTTTTATAACATCTTCTGTAAGGTTCCAGCTTTCTTATCCATAGAGGAGAACACTAAAGACGTAACATCTAAGAATTCTTATGCGTACATTGATACTTATAAATAGGTGTTCACTCATAAACTTCACTCAGGTGTTCTTCTAATTTGGTATATATGCACGAGTAAGGAGTACTTTAAGTACATGGCTCATCAAACTAATTAATCTATCTTCTTCACATTTTCTAGGGTTGACTTTTTTAGAAAGTGGAATGAATATTGATAGTAGCCAGTCTTTTGGTAAATAACCAGTCTCGTAGATGTTGTTGAATAGCTTCGTAAGAGCTGTGATTTGGTGTGCCTCTAATAGCGTTAAAATTTCACGGTGATTTCCCATCTTTAATCCGCTTAATGGCCATAGTTACTTCTTCGTTTGTTATTTCTGGGCTGTCTTCTTCTTTAAGTTCCATCTTCTATCGAAGGTTGTAAATCATCATGGCTATGCGAACTCTGTTGACTGCCGCACTAAAAAGTTCTGCACTACTGCATTCAAGCCAGGATATTCTTCCCACATTCTGGGCTGTAGGGATTGTTAATTTCAATCGGATTTCGTGCTGCATCTTCGAATAATTCTTGAATATATTCTTTCCATCCTGGTAATTTATCTTCAATGGAAGTCAAAATCTGGCGTTCAATGTCTACGACTATGCCTGTATTGCGTTGTTTGGTGTTCTGTACCTTTTTAATTTTTTTATGGATATGGAAATCGTCATGTTTGCGTTGAAGTGTTCAAGTTCCGTACATTTCTCCATCAGCCACGCTTCTTTTGCTCCTTTTATCTCTTTTAGTATAGTCTTATGCAACTTTTAGTATTCGTTGTGATTTCTACCTTTTAATTTTCTTCGCTCTTCCATCATCTGCAATATTTTATCTGTCATCCATTCTTGCTCCTTTTCTCTTTTTGATTTTAGATATCCATGCGAAATTGTGCTAATAGATGTCTTCATTTCATTCCACTGTTCTTTGAAGTCTCTAGTAATTTCTTCAAGTATTTCCGCAAAATTCTTATTAATATCTGTTTTAACTTTTTTTCTGGATGTCATTTTCTTTTAGTAATCTTATATCTACCTTGGGCCTCATTTTCTTATGAATTATTTTGAGTTTTATGTTGATATTTGCAACCAATAGACTGCTGAGAAGACATGTGCACCTGGATATGTTTTGTCGACGTGATAGAATTGCTAAACCTTTTGTTTATGTTGATAAAATCAATTTGGTTTCTTATGATTTTCCCTGGGGTATTACCGGGTGCTTTCCATGTATTAGCCCCACGACATTCTCGACTGTACCTTGTCCTATTTTAGCATTGAAATCGCCCATGATAATATTAAGTTCATGTATTTTGGTCAGTTTAAGAGAGTTTTCTAGAGTCTGATAGAAATTTTCTATTTCTTCTTCAGTGGATTCTGATGTTGGTGCGTAGACCTGAATGATGTTTATATTAAAGCGATTTGAGTTATTTCTCAATAGCACAACTCTGTCTGATGTGGGCGTAAATCCTATTACTATTTTAGCTATTTATCTTTATCACTACGCAATTTCTGTTCATGTCCTGTCATAAAAAAATATAAAATATACGTGCGTTCTTTCAAATTTGCCGGTATGAACAGTTTTTTGACAAAAATACGTTTAAAAATTGAAGGAATTTTCAAAATACAAAAATTTCTTTTTTTAAGTTTCAAAAATAAGTTATATTTTTAAAGTTCTACTGATCTGAAAGCGCAACCGTTAAATTAGTAATTAATTACATAATTGTGGTTAATCCTCAAAGAAAAATTTAATAAAAATATTTGGTATTTCCACATAACATTAATATTACACTGAATATAAAATAACCATATCCATATTTATCGATACAGAAACAATGACCTAGATCTCTACCTTCAAACGAAAAGCTAATAGCAAAGTCTTTCGTGCCGACATCGGTAAAAGCGAAGAAAAATTACAAGGATTATTCAACCGAAGGTTTGATCTCCGCTATTAAAAACAATACATAAATACATGACAGCTACAGGGCAAAATGTTTACAAACTATAACAATTTACAAACAACTATAGCAATACAATTTTGAAGTTAAAGTAAAACGACACCATCTTGCGTAAAAAATGTGTAATGATCGATAAAAATCGCTAACTATATTGAAAATGAAATGTTTCATAATTATGAATGAGTAAATGTCTTATCTGTGCGCTCTAGATTAATGTATTCGTAAATAAAGTTGCTAAATACACCATAAGTTATGAACTACTGACCTTAGGATATTTGATTCCTTTCAGAAGTTTGAAAACTTTACGCACAAATTTACACCTTGCGCCATTCACACCAAAAAACCGGACCAAAAACATAAATAATCCACACTGAAATGAAACAGTAACCTCTCCAAAAAAAATTTTACCGTTAACATAAAAGAAGAAGAAGTTTAACCGATGGCCGATAGTACCGAACTGCAGTGAAATACGTTCAACGATTTCACTTCCTTCTTTTACTTTAAAGACTTTGAGGAACAGAATACAGTAACTATGTAACTAAATAGGCAAGTCGTTTGACGAAGTTTAGGTAAAAAATGTGTCGTGGTATTATTATACAAATGAGTGGCACGATATTTTCCAAAATTGTACTTTAAAACATCATTTATTCGAACATTACAAAATAATTATTTACTATTATTGATATAGCGTACAAACAGCATATAGCGTATAGCTTATTTTTGATGTTAGTGTCTAAAGATGCTTTGTTTATCTTAAATTCTTTGCATTTTTCGTTAAACAACTGTTTTCTTTTCTCTTCTAGAGAAGTAATCAACAACTGGTCTCTAGACTGGACGCCTGCGCCCGATGTTAATTCAAACTGAAGAGATGTATAATGTTTCATAAGCTGCTCCTTGTGTTCATCATCCAAGTCAACAAATCCTGATCATCGGTTCCTTCTTTATCTTTAGCAGTAAACATTGAATATTCTCCAACTCCACCATCACTATGTCGATATTCCAGCAGAGTAGACTGTATTTGCGATAAAGTTGAAGCTGGGCCAAATTTTTCTGCTTATAATATCGCCGAGGTCTATAAACCTCAAACGGTAACTTCATATTTTTATATAAATTCGCATTTACCTGTTTCTCATCTGCACTGTGAAACTTTTTATTGAACTGCTCAATTGCACAAGCTCTTACAAATGCAGCAACTTCTTCGCGACATTCTAAACTGTATTACAGGAAATATGTACATAAAGTCCAAGCCTTGGATTTTATGTGGTTCAATGTTACGGGGACATTTAATTTTTGGTAAAACAGCAACAATATTTTCTGTTAAAGCTATTTTTTGTCCAATGCTTAAGTTTCCTCTAAACAGCAGATCAATGTCTAATTCAACGTGGCAGGATTCTATACACCATACCATCCCACCGACAAGTTTATCGAATGCAGAAAGGCCTTTGATTAAAAAAATAGCTGTAACAGAAAAGATTGTTGCTGTTTTACCAAAAATTAAATGTCCCCGTAACATTGAACCACATCAAATCCAAGTCTTTGACTTTATTGAAATATTTCCTGTAATACAGTGGTTAGTGAAGAGATCTTTAGAATGTCGCGAAGAAGTTGCTGCATTTGTAAGAGCTTGTGCAATTTAGCAGTTCAATAAAGTTTCATAGTGCAGATGAAAATCAGGAAAATGCGAATTTACTTAAAATTTGGCCCCAACTTCAACTTTATCGCAAATACAGTCTACTCTGCTGCAATACGGACATAGTGATGGTGGAGTTGAAGATTATTCAATATTTACTGCTAAAGATAAAGAAGGAACTAATGATCAGGAATTTGTAGACTTGGATGATGAACACAAGGAGCAGTTTCTGAAACATTATACATCTCTGCAGTTTGAATTAACATCGGACGCAGGCGTCCAGTCTAGGGATCAGTTGTTGATTGCTTCTCTAGAAGAGAAAAAACAGTTGTTTAATGAAAAATGCAAAGATTTTAAAATTCTTGCTTCTTCTTATTGGACCACCTCCTTTCGAAAGTTGACGATCCAAATGGCAATTGTGGAAATTGCTGCACCAAAGATTTCTGCGGATGAGCAGTCACACCATCTGCTCAGGTCTTTCAACCACTATTTCTGCCGCCTTTCTACTGATCTTTTTTTCTATACTTTACCTTCCAATATGATTTGGAGTAATTCATATCTTCCACATCTCAACATATTACGAAATTTTGTATTTTCCTCTCTGACTGTGCTTCGTAATTAAATTTGCTTACTCATGCGCCGAAATACCTCATCGTTGGTAACTTTTTGTACCCATGAAATTCTCAGAATCGTCTGTATATCTAGTGTTTAAGTAAAAAGAGCGGTTCTAATTTATATAAATCTATTTATTTTTAAAGCTTACAACAGGATAGTATCGCATACATTATTTATACATGTATCTGGAGTAGTCCAGCTCTATTCCCGCTTGTATGAACGCCTTGATCTGTATCTCGGCCGCTATATCTCAAACATTAGATTTTTCGTTACAATAATGTAAAATTCATCTATTGTTTTTTCTGTTTCACAGTCCAACTTTCACAGCCATACAGCAAGTATGCCATCAGTCGACCTGCTGATCGATTTCAAAGACCGGACTATCGCCGTTAAGATTCGTACGCGGTTATAACCATGTAACCAAACCAATATTAGTCGATTCGGTTGTATAACGGTACATTTTTTGCACTTTAAAATTACCTTAGATTACATGTTAAACAATTTAATACAACGTCTATGGCACCTCCATTTAAGTACCGGGAATTCGAGGGAAATAGAACCGATTGTGAAATAAGATGATAAGAATTTCCGAACCTATTGTGAAATAAGATGCAGAATGCGTAAGCAATGTTAATTTTTTAATAAAAATAACTTCCTATAATACACCAACATTAAGAAAACATTTGGAGGGCAACTGTGAAATGGAGTAATAGTTGGAGAAGATATACTCCAATAAGTACTAAACGAAAAACGAAAATTTTGGAAGAGTGGCGATTTATTTATCAACATACTCTCCGGTTAGCTAGATACACTTAACCCAGTGATGCTTTAACTTCTTTAACAGGTCTAAAAATACGTTTTTTCGAGGTCTACAAAGGAGGCTTCCGTCGGGGTAATGACTTTCTCATTCGCTTAAATTTCTGCCCGGCTAGTGACTTTTTGAAGTTTACAAACAAAAAGAAGACGCATTTTTATCACAGGTTAATAAGTCAGTCTCTTCTTAGGCAGTCTCATCAATATTCGAAAATAAACGGCTGTCAATATTCAAATTTGGACTTAGAGAAAAACTGAAATCTACAATGGCATCATCATCTAGAACAGAACTATGCATTTGGACTTCTTGTTCATGGTATTTTAGTATAGGCTCCAAACGAACTAAAGGAGAAGAAATCATGCTTTAGCGCTTCATTGAGGACCTCATTTTCAGTGGAAAATGAACCATGGTTTTTATTATTTCCGCTGGATTCCTGCACATTGCTGTCCTGATTCTCCAAAATGGATTGCAATGCAAGATTTATTATTTTGTACCTCCGAGAAACCATTCTAAAACCATTAAAAAAAAAAGTAAGCGCCATTCAAATGTTAGTTTGTTAAAATATTATTAATACCAAAATATAACTTTAAAACCTTCTTAAAGTCGGTTAAGTAATAACTTTTCTATGGAAAATTTAAGTTATGGTGTACTTTAAATGACCAAATAGCGGTTAGATAAACAAACATTTTTTTTTTCTACGAAAAAAATTTTTTTTTCTTTTGTTTACGAAAAGGCGTAACCGACAGTAAGTAAAATTGTAGATTCTTATGGTATATTATGATTTCTCAAGATAAATAATCTAACTAAACGCTTAAATATTAATAATATTTCAAATTATTGTTTACATTATTGATATAACCACGTTTTCAGACCCAAAACGTAAGCACCATCTTCCACTATGGATATTGTCGCTTACTGATTTCGGTGTCTCATCTTTTAAGAAACTCGTCTGGCGGTTAGAAAATTCAAAGCTTGTTTTAGTTGAGTTGGAATTTTTTTACAGCTGCGTCTTTTTAGTAGTCGATAGGACGTAAAATGTATTTTATTTTGATACCAAAACATAAATTTAGAAATTTTGGCGCTTATGCCTTTTTGTCGTGACGCCATCGATATGATAACACATACAAAATACAAAACAAAACAAAAATCAGAAATATATGCAAAATTGATTTAAATAAATGACTGAAAGGGAGATAAGAATACAAAAAGAGAACTTAGTGCAGATTACTAGGAAATAATTAAAGAAAACGTTGCTATACATAATTTACAAGGTGCTATCAAATATAGTTAGACGTAGAATAGCCCCATATGCAAAAGAGGTCCTCTTCATGAAGTAGGAGTTACGACCGAAACAATCAACAGTAGACCATATTTTACTATTAGACATCTGCTGAAAAAAAGTTAACAATTCAATAAAGATGAACGCCAACTGTTCATAGATCTCCGAAAAGAATACTGTAGCCTCAAAAGAGATAGTGTGTGGATGACCATGGAAAGTGGGGGTATCAAGAATGGCTATTAATTTAATAACGACAATTCAATGACGAAGGTCAGGGCAGGAAACATAAGACGGAAACGTTTTCTAGTACTAGTGGTTTAAATCAAGGCGATGAGTTTTTGCCTCTACTCTTCAACATACTATTAGATATGGTCATCAAAGAAGGTAACATAAAGCTAAAAGTGTTCTGTAGACACAACCATCTGAATCTGAATATACAGAACTCTAATCAGGTCAGTATCAGAAAGCTGGACAATCTAGAAACATAAGGGATTAGTATTAAACCGTTTTAATAGCAAAATATGTACTGAGAAAAATATATGAACCTAGAGTTAATACAGATAATATAGAATTAGATCAAATGAATAATTGGAAGTTATGCATAACTAATTAAGAAAAATCAATTAGATAAAAGAAGAGACTAAGGTGGGCAGGGAACGTGCGAAGAACCCATGACGAAAGTCTCACCAAACTGATATGGAACGAGAATCCAGCCAGTAAGAGACTGTTAGGTGGGTTTGAGTTAGATAGAGGTTTAAGATCTTCAAATATTTAAATGGAGTGGTAACACAACAAGACATGCTGGACTGACGTATGTAGAAGCAAATCCTACAGTCAACGAAGACTAGGAGGTTGTGAAGGCCTCCTCCCCCATGCACACACTCGTGCGGTGAGAGTAAATAAAAAAAAAACGACGTAAAAAAATAGAGAACTAACAACTTATATAAATATCAGTTGTTATTTAAACATAATCCACTACCTTGTAAAAAGATTATGTCATTATATCGCTGGAACTTTATACAATCTTTTTTCCCAGAAACGGGAACCCCAATCAAAAACTCAGTACGTGTTTATAAACAACGTTTTTTTTTATCAAAAGCTGGTACATTATCAAGTTTATTTTTATAATCATTTATCAGAAACATCCATTAAATTAATCCAAACGTATCATTTTTGATATTATAATAGCTAATCATTTGGACGTAAAATACAAATGAAAAAAAAATTGAAGTAAATACAGATTTATGTGAACGGTTTACGTTATTACCTGGAGTTAATTGATAAAAATATTGTTCAATTAAATAAATATGTTTAACCATATCTCTATATGAATAAATAAAATAAGGTGTACAGTATTTTTATTACTCAATTCCTCTTTATTTAACATTCAGTTGTTCAAATTTATGTTACCACAACTATAAAGGATTTTCCATCGTAGAATATGGGAGGTACAATACATTTTAATTTTTTAGTAGATAGACTAGTGATAGGATTTGATAGTGAAGTTTTTATACATTTAGAGGTCAACCGAAATAAATAGAGTAGTAGTATTCCTTGACGTAAAGAGAGCACTCGAAATCAATGACAGAAATATCTTACTTACTAAATTAATAGGATATGGATTTGATGGTTTAGTGCACACGTGGATATCCGACTATTTTTTATATTAATATAAACAAAGGGTCAGAACAAAAGATGTTATGTCGGATGAAATACAGTGTAATATTGGTGTCCCGCATGGAAGTGTGCTTGGTCCACTTCTCTTTATATTTTATTTAAATTTATTCGTTTATTGTGACTTTGTGAATCTCTTTGCAGAGTATATTTTGTTAGTTTGTTATAGTAGTGATACAAATGTTGCTATTCGTAGAATTAATGTAATACTTGGAGCAGTTAATGAGTATTTTAAATGAAATGTGTCTAAAGTCATGATAGTTATCTTCTTCTTAAGGTTCCATCTTCTAACGAAGGTTGGATATCAACATGGCAATTCTTATTTTACTTACAGCAGCTCTAAATAGTTGGCTAGAGCTCAGACTAAACCATTCCCTTAGATTTCGTAGCCAGGAGGTTCGTCTTCTTCCTACATCTCTTTTACCTTTTATTTTGCCCTCTATAATCAAACGTAGTAGCCCATAACGAGGACCTCTTAATATATGACCGAAATATTCAAGTTTCCGCCTCTTAATTGTCTGTACAATTTCTTCCCTCTTATTAACCCTATCAAGGACTTCAATATTGGTAATTTTGTCTACCCATGCTATTCGTAGCATCCTTCGATAACACCAACGCTCAAAAG